CACACACACACACACACACACACACACACACACACACACACACACACACAAAATGCCTTCTAGGATCAGCATTATAATGGAAAGGAAACACAGGACATGGGTGTAAATGAAAAAACACCCTTTACAAATGAAATCTCTCTGCAGGCATTGCTCAGAGGACTACAGCTCAAGTGGGAGTGATGAAAAATGTGCAGTGGGAGGGCAGAGGCGTGCTGCTGGCAAATTTTTGTGTCGACTCCAACAGATGTCGGCGACAGCAAAGGATTGGATACTCCGACTTGGGTCTAGCACAGTGCCACATTATCTGCCAAAAGAGGAACATGGCGAAATTTACTGATGTGCACTGGAGAATATTTTTTGCTTATGCATGACCTGCAATTACTGGAGGATATAGACTGAGAAAGCAGCAATCCTGATCATGGCAGGGATTTAATGTTTTGTTTGACGTATGTGCCAGCTTTTTCACTAGCTTCCCTTTAATGCATGTAATCATTCATTCAATTGTCATATAAATACAGGGAGACAATTGTCCTTTACTCCTCTCTTGTTTTCATGCAAGTTGAATTGATTTATGTTCACTCTCAGTGTAACAGTACTAGCCAACAAGTTTTAAAAATGTAAATCAGATATTAAATTTTCTACCTGCATGAAAGATCAAATTTGTCGCCACAGTGTTATTTATTGGCCTTAGTGATAATAGTTGTTTGTTATTGATTGAACGAAACACTTTTTAAACCATTTTCAGACCATACGTTTGTTGTTGTTTTTTGCTTTTGTTTTTTTAAAAATACAATTACTGTTTTAGTCTTCAATTCAAAACCTGTGGTCATCATCAGAAACAAGCTACCAAGCAGCAACCACCACGTCACTGTCATTTTTTGTAAAAAATAAATAAATAAATAAATAAATAAATAAATAAATAAAATGCATCATTAGGATGTGATCACAACATCCTGTGCCACAACACAATGAACACAATCAGCACACATTCATGGAAAGAAAGAAGTTTGAACGTATTGGTCTTAGAGTCAAACAAATTTAGTTTTCTGTTGTATAAAACATTAAATATAACATAGCAGGAGCAGAGCTTTGGTTCTTGCATTATTTATAGAAGCTGACTGTGGCTGAAAGACCTGCAGTGGTTTACTGAAATGACTTATGGGTAGGTAAAGTGCCCTCATCCTACCTCCTCTATAATAAAAGGTAGAATGAGGGCGTAATTTTTATTTTGTATGTAATTATTTTTTTGTATTCCATGAACAATTTTTTTACATCAATGCAATCTGAGATGGGCATACAAACAACCACGGGGTGTTTACCTTCACATACACCACCACACACCCTGTTATCACCTCAAAAAATAAGATGCCATTGAGAACATTATTTCTACTGCGACAAAAGAGCTGTTTGTAAAAGCAAGGCTACCACAAGGCTCCAAATAGAACATTATCATTGCTTCCAGTTGTGACAAATATCCACTGTTTGTCTCCCTCTGAAGCATGCACATATATTACAGCCCACAAACTACCATTTGTGTATCTTGGAGATTGTAGCGGTACCCTTTGACTGGCATTCTGTTAATTCGTGGAAAGCTCTGCTATTTCCAAGATGACGTTAATTAATCTCATGTTGGAATTCAGAAGCTGAGACATTTCATGTTTAAAAATTTTGCACTGGTACAATATATTTTAATGCCAACTAGGGCAGTCAGATTTTTAAGTCATGATTACTGTGATATGAATAGAAATCTTAAAAAAAAATGTGATAAAGGGTTTTGTGTTTTGTCTTTTTTTATCAAGTTAAATTAAAAATATAGTCTGTCAGTATAACTTTAACAAAGGCAAACAAAAAGAACAATTACATAATTATTTCACATGTCCTTTAGTGCAGCGGTCCCCAACCTTTTTTGCGCCACGGACCGGTTTATGCCCGACAGTATTTTCACGGACCGGCCTTTAAAGTGTCGCGGATAAATACAACAAAATAAAACTACCGAAAAAAAGAAGATTTATTCATAACACACGTGAAAAGACCCAGGAAAACTGAGTTAACGATAAAAACGATAACAAAATAACGCTGAAAACCGATAAAAACCCTGAAAACCATACATTTCACACCAGAGCGTCAACTCTCGCGACCCGGTACCAAACGACTCAAGGACCGGTACCGGTCCGAGGCCCGGGGGTTGGGGACCGCTGCTTTAGTGGTATCAATATTTTATTTTTAAACAGCATGTTTATAAACAATACAAAGTTATCACATTACTTTCATCTAGTTATCAATTGTCTACTTTTAAGAAGTTTCTATAATACTGGGAGGCAGGTCTACTCAAAATGCCATACACACCTTGAGTAGACCTGTTTTGTGTGAAAGTGGTGTAACTGTGGTTGGTTTACTCTGATCTGAATTATTTCATGAGTTTGTAAGTGTGTAGCCTCTTTCCAAGATGTGGGTTTTGTTTCACACAGAGAAAAAGCCCAAGCAAACTCCAAGTGAACCAAGTGAGAACATTGAGTCTGCTTATTGGCTAGATGTTACTGGGCCAGCAGCAATAAAACAAAATGAAAAAGGTACTGTGTTCTTGATAACATGGAGAATTTCTCTAAACAGTATATCTGGGTGATATTTCACAATTCGTCGGACTGAGGTTAGATCACATTTTAACTGTAAACAAACTGCTCTGGAGTTTTTCGTGAACTGGACCCAGACCACTCATCCATAGGTCTCAGTGCGGTTGTTCTGCTCAGACAAACTAAACAGTAGAGGTGTGAAAACACCCTGAGAGACACATAAAAGTGAAAGAGACTAGCTTACAGAGTAATACACCCACAGAGAAGGTGGCAGGAAGAGACAGAGACAGAAAGGTAAATGACAACTGTGTGAGAGGCTTTGATAGAGATGAAGATTATGTATTAATGTGTGACAGAACATGTTTTCCTCTTTACCATCCCCCAACACCTCCCCTGCATATGCTGCTATAATCCCAGGGGTGAAGGTTAGTGACCACTCTGACCTCCACATCCCCTCTGCAAGAGAGTCAGATCAACCAGAGCTTCTCTGTGCAGTGTCTTTATTGCTACCAGAACTATATGACATTAACACAGTATCAGTGTACACATATGTGAGATGCATAAAAACACCTCTTCTATTCTGAAAACATGAGACAAGAAGGAATGCTACTGTGAATGAAAGGCAGAGAAGGTTCATCTAACAAACCAAAAGAATAGAATAAAGCAAATATTTCAGAATTCAGACAGAACATCTGTCATTATAAAAAGTAGATTTCATAGCCTTGTAGTACAAATTACAACTCTATCCAAAAGCTTAGCTTGGTTTTGGGGTCATGAAACACATTAGCTAAAAGTAATCACACCACATAAGCAGGACAGATGTGACAACTGCACAATCTGGCCATGAAAATCTTTCCAAGTTCTCATCCTAAGTGGAGAATTAGGACTATTTTTTCCAAGTTAATCAATAAAGGGTTACGTCTTATTCTTAAACTAGGACTGTGTTCATTTCTCTATACGTTTTTTTTGCATTACTCCTCCATTCTCACCAGCAGAGTGGAGGAGTAATGCAAAAAAAACTAGTGTAATAAATCAGTTCCCAAATAAAACTTTCATAAACGTCTGACAGCTCCAGCTAACCAGTGGTGCCCAGAGTGGTGCTCAAAGCCAAAGGCAGTTCCCATTTTCTGTGTATAAACAAACCATTCACTTTGACTTTGGAGTCCAGCCTTACTCCAGCACCCTGACAGGAGGCTGACAGACAGTTTTAGCCTGTAGGTGGATGAATCAAAGCAGCGAGTAGTGCAGAGTGAAGACTAAAATTCCCACCATGAGGTTGTATGCCAGCCAGCCATGCTGCAGTTTACAGCCATGTCTGTCCAGACTACTAATATACTTGGTGAAGAACTTGAAGGAAAGCAAAAAGACTAATGCAACAGACCAAATGACAAATGTGGTAACAATAGCCTCGTCTGTTCTTCTTTTATAGTGTGAAACACTGCCCTGAAAAGTGTTTTTGCAAAACATACTGATGTTGATTTAGCTGACCTTTAACCCTTTGAATTTTATCCTTTTGAACATTTGTCTTATTCTTGAATTATGTAGCTCTGACCAGCAACATCTATCAATTCATCCATGAGACCAAGCAAACGGTTGTGCTACATTTTCCCATACCCTTTCCTCAAACAATGAGCTCATGAGAATGGGATAAACGGACGACTCAAAACCTTAAGTGCAACAGCTTGAGTCTGCACACAACAGTCATACTCACCTGTGTTCTGACCATGTTTGCAGGCACTCGTCTGCAGAAACTGCTCCTCAGTCTGGCAGCTCTGGTCCCTGGTCTCAGTGGAAGTGTTCCTATGAGGCTCAGGCAGTAGAGGGGGAATGGGCTTCCACAGAGGCTTACCCTGGTGCTGTCCAGCAGAGTTGCCCCTTTCCTGAACATCCACTGGAGTTTCCTTCTGGTCCCATTTCACCGGCAGCGCCTCAGCTGAAGCAGAGGTCTGAAGATGGAGCTGATCAGAGCACTGATCTCCATGTCTGGGTTGCACCTGTTGATGTTGGGTGTCCGAATGGAGTTGGCCTCCCTCCATCTCTGGCTGAACACCACTCTGACAAGAAAGCCAGACATGACAACATAAGACACACAAATAAAACGGACTGCATTTATAATTAAAGCCACTGTAATCTCCATGCTCCTGTGGGTACTGTGGACAGCAGCAAGAATTGCTGCCTGCCACTGTGATATATATACAACCACTGGAGGGAGACAAATCCAAAAAATCTTTAACTGCTTTAGATAGTAGCTGTCAAAGGGAAAGTGACTAACACTGTAGGTAAAAAGGGCAAGCCACTGCAGTGGTGGATACTAGCATATGTGGGACTGCTTATGAGACAAAAGCTTTAAATAACTTCTTTATAGTTAATAGGTTCGTCTCAGGAACGCACCCCTGATAAAAGGTTCTGTTTGCAAAGGGAAGCCAATTAGAAGAAAGTTGGCTTGTTTTAGACAGTGGATGAATATAAAGGGCTGCACCAAGGTCTAGTGCATAGTAAATAAAGATTATTTTAATCAGTGTATCCTACAAAGCTACTCTAGCAGAGTCCACTCATATGGGAAAGATATATATAAATTTTATAAGGTTTGTATCTGTCTTGTGTGAAACTTGTATGAAAAGCATACAAGAGTGAAAACAGATATAAGATCCCTTGAAAAATTATATAAATGAAACTTGTACGTTTTGGATACTTACTAAAACAATATATGAAAGTAATGAGAAAGTGGCCACTTTCATGAGTAAATCATATAAGCCTTATATGATTCACTATATGAAGTAGGCCACATCTTATGCAAGTCTTTTATAAGTTTTTACTATTTCTTTTCCATATGAGCAAGAATTTAAAAAAATAGTTTGAAATTATAAATGTTACCTAATGAAGACTGAAAATTCATGCATTCATAGACAAGTAAATTAGAAGAGAGCTCCTTAAAAATACAATTAGTAGCTGTCTTTGTCCTGAATTAATGCCAATTGTTGGGCAGAATGAAGGACCACAACAGCTGGCCGTGTATACGTCTCTGCGCACATGTCTCCTGAGCATCCAGAAATTTTGTAGAGGAACATTAACCTTGTCTCACACAGCTACCCCCCAGCAGATAAGTGACTCCCCATCAACTCCTCAATGTGTGCACACACAGCATGTTTGTCTGTGTGTGTATTTATGTCTCTTAACCAGACCTCCTTTCTATCCAAGTCCCCAATCTTAGCTCCTCTGCCACCCACCAATTTATCCTCATTCCCTCTCTGTCTGTGTCTGCCTCGCTAACTCCTCGTGTCCCTGCTGTCCTTGAAGAGGGATAAATGACTCCACATTAACTACATTACAGCACATCACCACAGGACAAGTGGGCCAGTTGGACACTAAGGCACAAAGACATACAAACGGACACATTGCCATATCGTGGCATAAACAAATAGCTGCAAAATAGCCCAAAAAATATCCCATTTGTGCAATACACACGTAACCTAATGAACCCAGTGGACCCAGACAGATTTATTTCAACCAATGGTTCAAGTGCAAAGATGAAGGGAAAGAAAAAAACACAGTAAGTTTTTACTTTAAGAAAAAGAGGGAAAAAATCACCATCATGAGCTAAAGAAAAAAACATCAGGGAGTGCCACCATTCACTTAGAATTTCAATTCATCTGCCAGTCAATCAGTCAACTATTCATGATTCATTTTCAATGGAAAGTGGTGAGCACAAAGCACAAGAAAGAAGACTGATTAGAGTAGGTGGGCGGGCTATGAAATTCCACTCTTTTAAAAAATGTCATGTGGAATAAAGAATAAAACGAACAGGTGAAAGCGGTATCAAAAAAAAAAAAAAAAAAAAAATCACAGATAAATCAGTCTGATGATTATTTAACAAGACTGATTTTCATATGGATATTGACAGCAATATATCATTAATCACACGATGAATGGTATTTAATCATGAGGTCTATAACTTCAACAAAAAAAAGATGCAGGGCTCTAATGAAGATTTGTAGATTTGCATTTGTATATGGGCATTTACAGTTTTTGGTTACTGCTTGGGCTCTGCGCATCAGCAAACCGAACCAAAACAGAATAATGAAAACTTCATATTAATAGGGTTTACAGTGGTACTAAAAGAATTGTTTGAGATATAGCCCCTTTAATAAGGTGATCAAATTGCAAAATTTCAAAAACAATTATTAAAGATTTTGTGTCCTGTTTCGCAGTGAGGCTTCTTGTTATTAAGAAAATTAACACATGAAGAGTGAAAAAGTAAAGAAGATGTTAGTTGAGCTTCAAAAAAATGTGCAAAATACACAGAATCCTCACAAAGTAAAGTGTCAGTTTGGCAAAAGACAAAATTTTGGCAAGAATTCTTGGAACAGAACTCTACAACAATGCATCTATATCAAAATTATGAAAAAACAAACATGCAGAAATAAGACAAAAGGAACAGCTTATGACCCTCAGTATAGCACCTCATTTGTCAAACATGGTGATGTCATGCTTTGCTGTCAGCAGAGCTGGTACACAAGAATTTATTGATAATTAAACGACTGACAGATGAAAAAGGATAAACACTGCTAAACATATTCAGGCAAACGTGCTGAAAGACAACAGACAACCTATCATCGTTCAGCGGGACAATAATCCTTAACAAGTGGCCAGAGCACCCAAAAAGCTTTTCAGGGTGAAGAAAGTCCTTGCGTGGAGTCGTTGTTACATAATCTCAGCCTGGCTGAGCTGCATTTCACTTGCTGAAAGGGCAGACCTACTAGATTCACTGGTGTAGATACAAAGAGTGTTGAGATTGACCGCCAGGCTAGAACATATAACATGATTTAGTTTATGTCCGATTTATTTTTAAACCCCTAAATGTTGGCATTATTTGTAAAGGGCTACAGCTCCTAAACTATCCTCCCCAGTGATGAAAAACAACTCAAATTAAAGCTAAGACTCTGCACTTTGTCGTATTGACTGTTTTGTTTTTTTTCTCCAAATTTCCTGGCCGTCTAAATATCCTTGTCTAGACTGCAAATAAGCTTCTATTGTAACACAATCACTGACATATTTTCTCTTTTTCACAATAAAAATACTAATTGTATTACCTGGTGTATCTGTACAATTTCTATTTCCCATATGCAAAGGCTGTGGCATAGGGAGTGCACACTGTAATGACTGCAGGCACAATACACATGCTACAATACAATACAAAAAACACAAACAACACAGGGGCTAGGACAAACAAAAGGGGGTACTTAAAGGGAAATATATAAGGACAGAATTCAAGTTTTCCCTAGTTCACATCCAGTAAATTTTGTAACATGTGGCAGGAGTTATTTTAATAATAGGTTAGGTTTCATTTGGGTCTAACATAAATGAAGTGTGACTTTACAATCAGACAGGCATTGTTAGATTTTCTTTTGTCCAGTACCTGTCTGCGGGGACAGTTAGAGCTCTTCCTCCCAGCTGACTTCTGGGCCTTCACCATGCTGCCAAGACTGGCCTGCTGCCCCACACGTTCACTACCAGCATACACCTGTAACCTGCAACAACACTCCACATGAGCCAAGAACTGGACTGAAAGAATTACCTTCTGCTGGAAAAGCCACTAAAGCATGAAAAGCTGTCTAAAGAATTAAACAAATTATAGTTTCTCATATCTTAACTGTGCACTGTTTTCTTGTTTACAGATGTACACTTGCAATACATTTGTAAAGGATTGTTTGTGTGCAGATTACACAAAGCCATGATACATTATCAACATCAGTGGAGCAGACTAGTGAAAGAATTGTAAGTCACACAATCTAAACTTTAAATAAAATGCTACCAATGTTGCCCATTTAATATCATCTTCCACATGCGTTAGTCTTCAGAAAATGTGGGAGTTTTACAGAAAGTTGATGAGAACAGTCTGCAATGTTACCATGAACCAATACACTACATGATTTGCACCATCTCTATGTGTGCATTTGTAACGGAGTACTCTGGCTCATGAATATTGTTTCTCCTAATTGATATGCAGCATATATTTCTTCTAAGAACACCTTATAGTTGTAACCATTCTGCAGCAGTGTAAAGATTGATTCAATCTGCATTAAAATAAGTTGTCACAGGTAATTCTATTGAAGCAAGAATTGGTGCAATCAGCAAACCCAAAGAGAGAGAGAAAATGTGCATAAAATACTTTTTTTTTTACCCATTTTTGCAACACTGTGGTGTCCAAATCAAGAATCTGTAAGAAAACTGGTAGAAAAAAAAGTTTCACTTCTTAAACACAGCCACATAAGTTACAATACAACATGTAGAAAACACACCCATAACAAGGTCTAATATAGATACTGGGTGTGTGGAATCTGAAACTGCTTTTAAGTGGGCTTTGTTTTGTTACAAGTTTCCTTTTGATACAGGAACTGTATTGGTGGAAGTGCAGAGCCAGTGGTTTTGAATGAGTTACCCACTTGAGTCCTTTATGAGTCAGACTGAGAACTGCAGTGCCAAATTGTTGTGGATGTTGTAAAGATACTTTTCATTGGTTGCTCTGTATCATAACAAATCTACCATAGCTTTGTATTACAGATTTAGGTGTGAAACAGTATGAGTTGCTGCCCTCTAGTGGTCATTTAGACACCATATTACTGGACGTATTTTTTTAACATAAGATCATCCAGCTTCAGAGGCACATGCTGAACAACCTCACTTTTCCAAACTTTGCCATCTTTCGCCATAAGATCTAACAACAAGAAGCCTACGTTAGCTGTCACTGCAATCTGCAGAGTGACTTTTGTTGTTTTTTGCCAGAGGACAAGTTTTAAATGTATGAAGAGTCCAACGTTGAACTAATAAGGTGCTGCAAGTAACAGTGGCTTGAAGCAGTTTAGCTATGACATACTATGAGCATCCCAAATTTGTGGTAATTTGGATTTAAGAGACAGCAAGGAAACACAAAACAAATTGGATGAATATCAAGAAGGGAAAGCACAGATCACCAACTGAAATTAGATCACATCAACTCTATGCCTGAAGCAAAGATGTAGTAGCGAAGATTTTGAGATTTTATACTAAGTTTATTAAGTATTGAAACTAATATTCTGAAATTAATCACTATGACTTTCAACTACAGGGAAAGGGACATTAGGCAAACAGCGACAGTTGTGTCAGTAGATGCAGCGGGGGCCCCGAATGCTTCAAGACAAAGCCAGTGTCAAAGCACGCTGTCCCATGTACAGGCATGTCCCCCACTCAGAAACACTTTAACTGCTACTGAAACTCCAGCAGAGGGAGACAAAGCATGTAATGAAAATGGGGTTTTTTAGTTTAAAAGTTTTATAGTGTTTTCTACAAGACCAAGGGCTTGAAAATAGCTGTCACAACGCAACACACCTCTCAATGCAAAAGATGTTTAGTATACCTCAAGTGGGGGCAAAATTATGCCTGGCCTGATGGTTAAGAACAGCAGGTGAGATACTGTTCTTAACCATCAATGCAACTCTGTTAAATAAGTCATATATATATATATAT